TTTTTTTTACAACTTCTTTGTCTTTATCTTCTTCTACATCTTCAATTTTACAGACTAGCATTTCTTGACTCAGTTTTTTTCCATTAATAATATTAAAACATTTTACACTACAAAAAACAGGCTGAAAATTGGTTTTGGATTAGATTCATTGTTTTATAAATACAATTAATTTTAATTTGCTAACAATGTATTTACTTATTTTTTTCTGGTTTTTTTAAACAAACAAACGCTTCAAGTTCGCTAATTATTCAGTTTCAAAAATATATATAGATATAGTATATAGAGTTATATATATTTATATACCATGTCATTTCTTTTGTTTTTGTTTTAAATATAAAAATTCTAGAAAATTGCTATTAATTTCCATTACTGTTGCTGTCTCATCTTCTTGTTGAAAGTATTTTATTATTTAGATTTCGTTTAGTTTTTATTTTCATTCTTGATGTAAACAAAGCGCGAGCAAAAATTTGCTAATAGATTTGACTATTGTTTAATAATATACATAACCATTTAAAAGTCCACAAAGCTTGTTTAATAATTTTTAGTACTTTTTTTGTAGTATAGAAAAAATATCGTATTTCGTTTCGCTTTTGTTTTCGCTCTTTAAACATGCATCAAAAACTTGTTCATATATAAATTGGAAACTAATTTAGTTCACTAAAACTTATTGTTTTATTTTATTTGTTTTTTTTTGTTTTGTATTTTTCTACATATTTAAAATTTTCTGTTTAGCTGTTTTCAATTTGAGAATCGAGTTTATATATAGGTTGGTGTATATATAATTATTATACAACTGTTTGTTTTTTTAACAGAAACATTGCTTTGATATTTCGCAAATATTAGTATTATTTCTGTGTACTTTTCTTTCTCTTTTTTGGTATTAATTTGGTATTTTGTAAAAGCTATATTTTGGTTATGCGTCTTGCAAATTTTTTTAATATATATGTATATATAACGCAATTAACATATATATTTATCATTTATATATATAGATATTCCGATATAGTGACGATTACATTATTTAGAAGCCTTAAAAAGCGTATATACAAAATATTAGTTAAATACAATAGATTCGAGTTTACTAGCACTACGGTCTTAGACATACATATACATACACATATAAATACATATATATAGATATTCCATAATATATATTAGTATTGCACAAAAGATTATTCCGATTTCAGTTTTAAATATATATATATGTATACATATTGTTTTTGTGGTTGGACTAAAAAACAGTTTATACAAAAGTTGCTATATAAAAAGTTGTTATAATATATTAGATTAAGTTTTAAATATTTATAGATTTTTAATGCAATTTACTTTTTCGTATAAAAACGGTTTGAAGATATTATTTCTGTGGTATTTTTTCAGTTTTTCCTTTTGTTTTGCAACACGCCCAGCAAAAGCGAACTTAAAAAACAAATAACTAAGGCAAACAATGTGACATAAAAACAAGTATTAAATAATTTAATAAACAAAAAATAGTGAATAAACATAATACTGAACACATTATATATATGACTTGATTTTCATTTTAGCGTAAATTAACAATCATTTGTGTGACTTTTATTTTCCAGTTAGTTCGTTACATTCATTGGGAACAAAAATCTTTTGGTATTTTTAGCAGCATTTATAAGTGTGTGTCGATCTGATCAATGTGTAATGAGTGTATATGCAGGAAAGTGTGCGTGTATATAAGATAGCTTCAATAATCGATAGGGAAATTTTGGATGTCGTCGGGTTTATATAGGGTTGTAATTATCTATCTGTGTGCCCGCTGACTAGGCTTCAACTAGAAATGGGCAACAATGCAGTTGTTGCCAAATGTTACTGACAAAAGAAGTGTTTGAAAAATTTCTGAATTGAAATTACGAAGCAAGGAAAAATCGTAGTGTGTGGAAGAAGAGTTTTTAATCCGAGAATTATATCGGAATTTTCTAAAATTTGTATCAAATGTTGTTTCCAGCTGATTTGTTTATTCTATGTTGGGAGCAATTTTGATAAAAGTAAGCGTATCCATAATTATATGATTTTTTATAACAAAGAATATATATATATATTGATATATATTCAAATTTGTTTTTTGTGGCCCTTTGGCCTGTTTACTCGTACGATTTTCACATGCAACGTAATTTGCCTAGTTGCGAGAGCATAGTCAACATAGCGTAAATAAATCTCGAATCTCGAATTTTTTTTAAGGAAATATTTACGATTCTCGTGAGCTTAAGCCGCGAAAATTACTTAATCACCAAGTAATATTATTTATATACCTACTTCTGTATATAAATATACATATCATATATATGTATATATATATTTACAGTGTGTGTGTGAAAGAGCAAATGTGTTAAAAATCTGCCACGATTTTGTTAAACGTACACTGAGCGGGCGATCCCAGTGATACGTCAACAAATATTAAACGAAATGGGAAGGCAATTATCTCTATTTAATTTGTGTGTGGGGTTTAGCAACAATTTTTTTAAACAAATTAATAAAAAAACAGTTTAAAGCTTCTATATAAATCTTGCCATTCGGCAGTTAAACACGCATGTTTTAGCCACATATACTTGGGGTAAAACATTGAAATTTGGTTACGTCTCACTTATCGAAAATCAAAATATTTCTATACATAATAACTAGGAACTTGGGGGTATTTTCTCTCCTTCGTTAGTGACACACCTCCGTTTCGAAAAAAAGAAAGAATCAGGACAATTATTTGCAAGCCCATTTACAGTGTGATTATTCTCTCGTTTGATTGTTTGTTTGCTTGTTTTTTATTTTTGTAGGTATGCGATGGCTGTTTTCGTAAATGGGCCTACTCATAATACCACATCTAACTTTCTCTCTTTTCGGCAGTGGTCTTGGCAATTCATTATGTTTCACCTAATCAAATTCTTACTAAGTATTCCATATATATATATGCATATAGAAATACTCTAAATATATATATATGAAATACAAATTATTAAAATAAACATTTAAAAAAAAATAAAAAAATACTGTGCTTGCGTTTCGCTTCCTATGCGTGAGAGAAAAACTACTCAAAGATTCCGAGAAGAAAAGGGGTGTTTCTGCTCCTTCTTCTTCAACTTAAACTATGCTGTTAGACCAGCGTAGACTCTTTCTTGTCAGCTATTGCGCTGGGCACAAATACCCTTACTGGGTGAGTTGCTGCGCTATTGCACCTGGTTTTACATTAGCCTCGCCTGCGTGTGCTCGATTCTCTCCGTGTGTGAGTGTAAGTGTGTGTGTCTTCATTTGTATATAGTGTCTCGCGCGTCAGTGTGTGTGTCTTTGTGGGTGTGAGCGTGTTGGTTTGTCAGCTTGCCTTATATACTAATTACAACTTTCTCCTGCGCTGCGGACGCACTCGGTCGCGTCCCTCGCACTCAGCATCCTGGGCTCGATGGATCAGCCGATGCTGACGATCCAGTCGATTCTCTCGCTCCTGTCGCGCCTGTGTATTGTTGATAATATCTCTGGGCATTGCCAGCGCTGCGTCCAACAACCGATGTCGTTGCTCTCTCTGTTGGCGTCTCTCATCGTGCAGCGCGGCCTACCAGCGCCGCCGTTAACACCAGCGAAAGGGCACCGCACGCGGCCGATCGGCGCCCTCCTTGACCAGCGGCTTGTGGTACTCGCGCCCGGGCCGCGAGTGGATGACGGCCCAGCAGTGCTCGCAGTAGTACTGCAAGCAGGTGACATTCGCGCAGAAGAACGGCGCAAACTTGCCGCCGCAGCGCTGGCCCTCGCACTCGTCGCACATCTGATCGTCCAGCACGTAGGGCTTGACCTCCACTCTCTTGTCGATGTCGCCGTGCTGCAGCTGCACGAAGCGCGCCGAGATGGCTGCGATGTAGCTCTGCTGATTGGAGAAGGCCACGCGGCCAGCGCCCTTCGGGTACTTCAGCTCGGGATCTGTGTCGATTCCCGCATAGCATACGCCGCCATACAGGCGATCCATGATCATGGCCAGCTCGAAGGCCTTCAGCGGGCGCGGCACGCCCCCAACGAAGACCGTCTTGCGAGGATCCAGCGACATGGTGGCATCGAGCACATAGTCGGCGTCGGCCAAGCGCCAGGGCCGAATCTGCACCGCCTTGTCCTTGATGGTGGGCGAGGAGACGCATAAGTAGAGCTTGTCCTCGTCCGTGATGCACGAGTCAATCAGCTGCTGCACGCTGCTCTCGTCCTGGAACAGCAGAAACGCATAGCCCTTGGGCGGAAAATACGACTTGGACTCGGCCTTGTGCGGCCAATCCACGACCAGCGGCCCAAACCGACGAAACGATGTGGTGATCTCGTCCTCATCAATGTCCGGCGGCAGCCCGCCCACAAACACCTTGCGCGAGAAGCGCGCCGTGCACTCCCCGGCGTTGCCTCCGTTGCCGCCCTGGATGGGCGAGTGCGGCGAGTGGGGCGACAGGCGCGACGGCGAGCCCATCTTCAGCGCATTCAAGTAGACCGTCGGATCGTTGCCGGCGGCTATGGCCATGGCATCGGCCTCGCTCAGATGCTTCGAGACACCGCCGCCGCCAGTCAGGCTGCGCATGCGATCCGTCATCAGGCCCATGTTCTCGCCGCCAGGGCCGCCCAGCGACATGCCGCGCATGTAGTCGCTGAGGCTGTTCTCCATGCCGCCGCCATGATGGAGCTGCCCGTTGGCGTTCATCATGTTGCCATAGCTGTTGCCCAGGTAAGGCGCATCGCCGCCGCCTGTGGCACCTGCCGTGCCCATGCCACCGCCGCCGCCGCCGCCGCCACCAGCACCGCCATTGCCAATGGACAGCGTGGGTATGTTCATGTGGCCGGGACCGGGACCTGGTCCAGCGCCGCCCATGCCATCCATGCCGCCGCCACCTCCGCCGCCGCAGCCATAGAGCGCCGTCGGTGAGTTGCCCTTGATGGGAAACGATATGCTCCGTCTGTATTTGGGCGAAACGCCCTGCATGTTCATTTGCGGTATGGGCGAGATGCCGCCGCTGCTGCAGCCCGCCTGAGAGCCGTTATACGGTGAGCCACCACCACCACCACCGCCACCTCCGCCGCCACCACCTGGCGAGGAGGGACTGTGCGCGCCGCCGCCATCGCGCTGTTGCTGCTGTTGATGATGATGGTGCAGTGCACTCAGATTGGGCGACAACTGCTGCTGCTGCTGGAGCTGGGGCGGCGGCTTGCTGAGATTCAGATTGGGCGGCAGACCGCTGCAGCTGCGTAAGGAAGGTAACAAGAGAGATGAAGAAGAGGCTTTTTACAATTTTTGTATATTATTATATATGGATTTATAAAAAGGAGCAATTTGTTCAAAGATTTGCTTCAAATTATAGAGTTGTTCGGATAGGTATTTTAGATATTTATATATACATAGATAGGAGTTTATAATGAAATGAAATTAGTTTGTGTATAAAATAACTTCTCTTGGCATATAAATATATATATATATTATTTTTATTCTATTTAAACATTGCCGCCCAGCGTTGGAAATTATAATTGAAGAAAAAACTGAAATCTGCATAGGATTAATAAGATCTATAATATTTGTTACACTGGGCGTGGCTTTATCTTTGGCTAATCTTAAATCAAATCTTGAAATTGCTCCTTTCTCTGTTTTCAGTTTTATAAAGCGTTGATTTAAATTAAAGTTGTTGTTGTTGCTGCTTTAACGATGTTTTGTTGTTGTTGTTGTTGGTAATGTTGTTGTTGGTGGTGGATTTGGTGGTAGGTTGTTTGGTGGTGGTGGTGGTGGTGGTGTGAGTGGTGCGTGGTGGTGATTCGTATCTCAATCCAATCAGACAGATTTCATATTTGATTTTATCATTTCTTTTTTTTTTTTTTGGTATTTTTGTCGACAGTTTTGGCAGCACTGGTTGCACTGTGCACACGCTTAATTGTTAACTGAATTCCAAGCACTTTGACACTGCACGATAACGATAAACGATTAACGATAACATACGCACACACATACAGTTATGTACAAAGTTTCTTAAGATAGCAACGGCCCAGCATAACAAAAAGTGTTGGAAATTAAATAAAGAGAGACAGAGAAAGAGAAAGGGAGAGAGACATATCGTGTATATATCGGAGAGAGTAGATAGAGTGGGCGGCAATGGGTTAATATATATATCTATATATATATATATATGTAGAGCTAGTGGTTAAGGCTAAGGCCAATTAGAGATTAAATATTTGAAACCAGTTCAAATTCTTCGTTTGTTGTTGTTGCTGCTACTCTCGCATCTGCTCGCTAATTGATTTGTATAAGAGAAGAAGAAGAAGCACAGTGCATGTAAAACTGTATATGGAAAAGTTTTTAATTTAAAAAAATTTAAAGAGCAGAGTCTCTTCCGTATAGATTGCCAAGGGCGAGTGAGAGAGAGAGAGAGAGAGAGAGAGCGTGCGTTGGAGTTGGAGGCTGGGCTGTTAATGAGAATGAAGTTACGGATGCTGCCGCTGCTGCTGTTGATGATGATGAAGATAATGATAATGATGATGAAATGTATAGCATGCTGAAACGTGTACAAGTGTAAATAGATAAAAAAAAAAAAACGAAGGGTAGGTAGCTGGCTAGCTGCTGCCTGCCTGCTGTCTGCTTGATAAGCAAATCGCTACGCAGGTGTCGCTGTGCCTAACGTCATTTGCCAGTGTTGCAAAATGCAATTATGGAATGCAATTAGCTTTGCAGTGGAGCGAGAGAGGAAATTGAAAAAGGCAGCTATGCTCAAAAAAAATTGTTATTAAAGATTCAAATCGGATACACTGCCTGATTGGCAGGCAAATCGAAAAGCTGACAGCAAAAACGACTTGCTAAAAATCAATACAACAAGTAAGAAGCGTAGTCTTTCATGGGGTGTACGCGACTAAGAGATACTATTAAAAACAGTAGGCAAGTATATTTCTTATGCAGCTATGAATTCTACCTTGGTAGAAGTTTATAATCGATATATGTTATCGATTAAATCCCGATTATAGTTGATAGGCGGTGCTATAGGAGACCCATGTAATCAATCTGAATTCTTCAACTCTTACAGGACAGAAAGGCCTAACTGAGTTCGGTTGTTGAACCAGATCCATAGTTTGTCCCGCCCCCCGTCGCCCATTACGTACACGTCATTAAAAGGCATATAGCCGGCGCTCGCATTTTTAATGTATTCAGGGTATTGAATGAAAGAGGCATTCAAGTTGGCAGCACACAACTTAAAGCGCAGACATTTTCAATATTTTAAATGTAAAATGTAAATGGCAAAAACCAGACGTGCGTCTGCCCGCACACACCCACACCCACACACACACACGCACCTACACCCATTGAAAATGGCAAACAGACGACCAAGACCCAGACGACTGACGACCCGCCACTTAAAACCAGGCAAAGTTCTAGACGTACTCTCGCAACTGTACACAAACGTGTGCATGAACCACATGCGACATAAACAAAAGCCCAGTTGCCGCCAGAGTGTAGTGCACTTAAAAGAAAAACAAAACAAGAAAAAACAAAAATAATAAAAAGTCGAGCTGCAGCTGGAGCTGAGCGCTTTTAAAGCCGGTAGGCCTTGAATGCATTAAAAATGCATAAGTGCAGCAAACTCTTTACACTAACTTTCGGTCAACGAACTTGTGCCGTGCCAAACTTCTGCAGCAGCAACAGGCTGTTCTTCGTTTTCTAACACTGTAAGCAAACCAAAAATAAAAAAAAATAAGTTTTGCTGCGCGTGACTATTTAAAAATGCATTGAATTCCCACTGGACACGCACAACTGCAACGTAGGCAGATAGCGAATGCAGTTATTTAAATGGCATATAGAATGCAGTTGCTGATTGCAGCCAACTTAACAGAGCTGCAGCGCAGCCAACTTAACGCTACGTGCTGCCAAACCTTATTGAAGGGCGTTCGGTAATGAAATTTTATGAGCTATCAAAGAGCAGCTGCTGTAAACGAGAACAATATATGTATGCCCTGTTGTGTGTGTGTGTGTCTCTGTGTTCGTATTTAATTTGGCAAGTGTATATTGTAGCAACAACAACAAACAACAAAGAGTTAAGTAGAGCGTGTACGAGAGAGGGGCATTTCTTTGATCAAACTGCGAATTCAGCACGTCAGAGCTTTGTGTGTTACAAGATTTCAGTTGTTTCACTCACCTTTTGCGATTGAAGAAGCCTCCGCCTGCTCCGCCGTTGTTGCCTTGTCCTTGACCTCCTCCGCCGCCGCCGCCGCCGCCTTGCAGATAACTGTTGCGCAGATTCACCTCCTCGTTCTGGTTGGCATGCATAGAGAAAAAGAGCGGTTCAAGAGGGAACAACATTTTGCAACAATGAGTCAATGGTGCCAAATGATTTTGCAATCAAATATCAGCGCTAGAGCTAAGGCAACATCTGTCGAGTTTTTTTCTGTTTTTTTTTTTTTGTTTTTTTTGTTTTGTTTTTTTTTTTTTTTTTTATGGGTGTTTTTTTTGTTTTGTTTTTTTTTTTTTTTGGCAGTCTTGGCACACTTATAAATAGCTGCTCAAGTTATTTCAAACAAAATTTGTACGACACGAAAATAAAGCACAGCTGATTATTATTCGTGCGCTGCGAAATTCTTGCTCAGAAAGTGAAAGCTACGAGACACTAATTAAGCAGGCAACGAAATGCTAATTGAACGTCGTCGCCGCGACACGGAAAACTGGATCTCTAATTCCATTCTTAAATGCGATTAACGCCAGCCGCCAGCCGTGACAAATGAAAGTGAATCACAGAGCGAAGCCGGCGCCGACGCCAGCTGCCGCTGCTGCAGCTACTGATAAAGCGACACAGAAATGTAAACAGTCGGCAAAACAATAGAACACAAAATGCATTAAGTAAATTAAATAAAGTGTTGACGTACTAAATACTACGACTCTGCAGAATATAATATACTGAAGAGCTATCAAATATTATACTTTATATTAATGTAAGATATACCAGAAATTCTATTGTAATAGCAATAGTAGTAGCTAAGCAGCTGCTGCGGAACATATCCTTATATTATAGACATTTATATATTACATATATCATCTTATCATTGGTATATCTATCTTAAATGAGCGATCCTCGAATAAAATTCTCTATGTAGGCAGTGAAACATCGAAAGGGCAAAGAGACTATATACGACAAAGTCATGAAAATACTATGACACATCGCATAGACTCATTGTATACCCCATATATATAATGGAGCAATGGAAATATCAAATATCTTATGCCAATTATTAATTAGGTTTTCCTTTTCCGTGGAAATTTATTTAGAATAATCTATCTAAAATTTAAGGCAAAAAATTTGCAAATTGTTTAAAAAGATATAGCTAATATGCTCCAACATACAGCAATATATAAATGTATATATTTGAAAATGCTATCATAAAGAAACTAATTCCATTTAAGCGCAAAACGAATATGCCCTAACACACATCTTGTACCCTCTCTTCACAGCTTATTAAGAGCGGTGCCAGTTGTCGATAAAAGAAAAATAAAAAAACGATCGACAAACATTTGCACATAATTATAATAACGCATACTTACACCAAAGAGTTGCTGCTGTTGCTGATGTAGATGTTGCTGCTGGTGTTGTTGCTGCTGCTGCTGCTGTTGCTGTTGCTGTTGTGAGGGACTGCTGGAGAGCGAATGCGAGTCACAGGGATTCACCAACATGCCAAGGGCAGCGCCCACGCTGCCGTTATTCTTGAGGCCCAGCAGAGTGGGCGAGGCATCGCCGCCGCCGCTGATGCCGCCGCTGGGGCTGTGGCTGCTGTGCTGATGCGCCGCTGCGTTGTGATGGAACGACTGGAGTATGTCATCGAGCGACTCCTGATTGGCATTGAAGCGCACTGCGATGGGTGTGCTGCTGCTCAGGCCGGGTGGCGTCTTAATTGTGGTCGCAGCTGTGGGCGGCACTGCCGATGTGGGCGTGGTGGCCAGGCTGCCAACAACGGATGTCGATGCCGAGCCGGAAAGGTTGCTATTGCTGCCGCTGGCGCTGCTATTGGAGCTGTTAGCTGTGGGAGTCAAATGAACTTTAGTTAGAAAAAATATTCCCCCTTCCATGCACAATCATCAACAGGGTATATACGTACTTTTGGGTAACTTAAGCGAGTCCATGTTGCTGCTGTTGGTTGCCTTTATATGGCTGCGTTTGCCTTAGCCTACATCCAAAGTGGGCCAACGACGAATCGTGTCCAAAACATCAATCAGCAATAGAGAGCGAGAGAAAGACAAGAGAGACGCAGAGAGCAAAGACAGCACATGAAAGTAAATGGGAAAAGGATAGACATACAATTAGAGCGAGCCAGTTGGGAACACGTCACACGAATTAGTTTATCATATTTCTCCTCGCAAATGTCAAACGTTGACAGAAAGCCCAGCGCGTAATTGCGTTTAAAAATAACAGAAATAACAAAGAACTGAAACTATTTGACATTACATTTCAGCTGAATTTATTTTCGTTTGGCTCTATTTATAAAAGCTTTAAATATTATCTATTTGGCTGCCGTTTGATGTTGGCAACAAAACTTTAATGGATTATAATACATCATAATTGGCACACAAACTAAAGGGGAAGCACTTTATAGATAAAGATGGAGGAGCAACAGAGAGAGGCAGGGGCAGTACAGCGTGTGGATTTTTTTATTATCTCTCAAAATGATATTTTAATTAATGTTAAGCATTTGAGTATACGATAAAGCCCAACGGTTCGAGTATTATTTTATTGTTTAGTATGTTATAGATTATCTCTAATTATTGACACCTTAATACAATAAAGGATTTTCCTCTCATCAGCCTCTGTTAAAGTACAAGTCTCTAATTTAAATTCATTAATAGCTTCTGTATCTCTTTCTCTCTCTCATTAACATTTATTGTTCCTATATAAAAGCCCCTGTTTCACAATTACAAATTACAAAATTTAATACCCAATTAGTTTCAGACATGGCTTTGTCCATCTGATGCGCTCGCTAATTGCATTTGCTTTGTGACGAACGTGTTGCCAATTTTTTATGTCCATACGAAATTTGGTATCAGTGCACGTTTTATCGGCGAACACAGCGAAATGGTTTGATAAAAGTGCCCATTAAATGAGCCTTTGGTTGTTCAATTCTTGCTGCCAGCCATCATCAATAACAATATTGATATTAACAATAGCAACAATCTATTGATAAAAACAAAAGCGAAAACAAAGTGGCGCGTCGAGCGAATGAGTAATACGAGAGATAAAAGAAAAAGCAAAGACAACTAAATATGTGTGTTTGAGATTATGTTTAAAGCTGGTTTCTATGAGAGGCGAGCAAATAGAGTCGTATTACCCATTTACCATACGGTGTCCAATCTCTTGCAAGCTCTGTGCACGCACTTCACTCTGAAATTGGAACTTGTCACCGGAAAGCGCCTATTGTTGTAAAACAAGGCAACCGCACGAGAATGAGAGAGAGAGATGGCGAGACCGAGGGTGAGAGGGAGGGAGTAGTAGGCAGTGGCACGTTTAATTAGTTAAATGCAGAGAGAGAGACAACGGGGCAACGAAATCGTTACGCCAATGAATATGTTCGCTCAGCCATATAAAGTCGTCTCGCGGTGTCCCCTCCTACGCCCCACAGAGCCCCTCCCTCTCCAACTATGCAGCGCGCTTACAACTGAAATCTGTAGAGGGCGTACTCATACATTTAAGTGAATCGTTCGATAGATGTTCATGGTTCATAGATGTTCATATTGCTCTGTAGTTTTCAGTGCTCTTCGAGCTGAACCAAGCAAACTATATAAACAGAATGCAAATCACGGAGAGAGGCGTCCAACAAAATGTTGAAATAGTTTATAATGAAAGGAGCTAACCGTTATTTATGAAAATCACATAGAAAGGCAATTGTTCAGTGAAATTAGCAGTTCCCGCTGGAATTTGCCACTTCTCCTTTCCAAGATAAGAAAGGCTTATGGAGAATCTTTCCTAGTTTTGTACTACTTCCAAATGGTGAGCTCTACTTGCTCACATATTGCCTGTCTGTTTAGCTTTAATATAACCCCCTTTTAAAATATATTTAAGGAAAGGGTACAAAGAGCATAATCAATACAGAAAATTGTCCTACAAACGAAAAGCGACCCCCCAAAATAAAAAAAAAAATAAAAAAAAGACGGCAAACAAGTAACTTGAATTACAGCATAACGCAAGAGGCGAAGGCAGAGGCCGAAGTAGCAATAACAATGACAGTAACGCCCCCCATCCTGACACACACACACACACATGCTCAGAGTCTCGAGTGTAATATGCCGCCAAAAGCAAAAGCATAGACAGCTTGGCTCACAATCCAAAAGAGAGAGCGCAAATGTCTGGGAGAGCGACTGCTGCAGCTATGTGTGTGAGTGTGTGTGTGTGGGAGTGTGCGTGTGTGTTTGGGCAAACATTTATCTGCATTTAAGGTGCTTTATGAACAAATACAATTTTTTGTTTTGTTTTTAGCTATATGAGAGGTATTTAGTATTATCACACGTCGTCTGCATTTAGACTGTAACTGTAACTGGGCCAAATTCTCGCGAACTGTTTTTCGTTCACTCTCTTTATACTCAGTGTTTGGGGTTCTGGCCTGAGATTTAGGGGTTATTATGGTCTTTGCTTTGCTCAACTGATTCGTTACTGCTGGTTCTGTCACTACTGCGACTGCTGCTCAGTCGCTCGGTTACAAACGTTCGTGCCCCAATTTCAATTGGTTACGCACAACAGAGAAAAAGGCAACCCTGCTCTACGGGGTTGCTTCGTCAACCGCACGAAATTAGGCCAAATGCTGCGCACAGATATATAGTTAAGCATAGGCATATATATAAATTAACATATATGTATGTAGTGACATTTTGACAGGTGCAAACGAGGCGAGCATTAAACTGAAAATTGTATTTTTTTTTGTTTTTTGTTTTATGTATTTCCTTCCACTAACCTTTTGTACTTAAGAGAATTTCGGTTTGGTCTCGTTCGGCAGTTGGTGCAACGACGCACGAGTGAACACGAAGGCGCACCACGAAGTCACGAACAAACTTTCAGGTGCAAGTTTTTCTTATGCCTTCGTGCCTGTGTGTGCGAGCGAGTGTGTGTGCGTATGCGTTACATTTCCGGGGGTGCAGGCAGGCAGCAGTCCGTCTCACTCACACTCTCGCACAATTCTGTGACGTAGATCGCACTATGTATTTTGTCGTTTTCGTTTTTCGTTTTTTTTTTCTGCAATAGCAAAAATTCCTTTGCTGCAGCACAGAATTTTGTTCTCCTTTTATGTAAACGATGCGAGTGCTTGAAGCTGCATTTGCGTTATTCCGTTTTTGGTTTATTAATTTATATTGATTTCAAAAACAAAACGCGTTTATTTCTTCACTTAATGCACAATTCTTTTTTCTTTTCTTTTCTTTTTTTTTTTTTTTTTTTTTTTTTTGACAACAAATTATTCACACACACGAATACTAAACACGGAGCCGCGCACACGATTTTTCATAGCGTAGAACAAAAAAATTTTAATTGCACTAGAAATTTTGAAAAACACTCATAATGTTTACACTAGAATTTTATGCTTAAATTGCCAATAGATGTAATACTTATTTAATATTTAATTTTGGAGAAAAAATAACTCCCGTCCGCTCACTAGCGCGACGATTGTGAGACTGAATTCTAAAAATTCTCGCTGCTACTGCCTAGCTTTTCACAAGCTTGTTTTGTCGTTGCTGTCGTCGCCTACTTTTCCCCGACGTACGACGAAAAATCAATCATTCTTCCTTGTTTTGCTTTCGTACGGTGTTTCGTGCTTTTCTGACAGCCCACCAGTAACAACAACAACAACATTAACAGCAGCAGTAGCAGCTGCTCGGTTTGCAGCGTTGCCGTTGTGCATCTATACCGATATATGTATATTTATGTATATTTATCGATAGTTTGAACAATTGCAATTCAAACAAGGAAATGCAAAATGAAAAAATAAATATGCCCAATCTTTGATGCATTACATAAATATTTATGACACATTTATATATTTTATGCAAATTACTACAACAGCCATCTGGCAGCACTACGAGCAGAGTAAGTAATGGCAACGGCGGAATAAAAGGAATACAAGCGAATTACATAAATGAGCTCTACTTACAATAACAACGCCAACAATGTTCCTGCTGCTGTCCCACAATTGTCTTAGGTATACAACAAAAAAACTGCACAAACATCAGTTGCGGGCTTACGGGCTTGTCTTCTGGTGTGCACACGCGCGCGCGGTATTAACTTTAAATGTTGTTTTTTGTTTTTATGTAGGTATTTGACTTGTGTATAGTAATGTGTTTACAAAATATATGTATGTCCACCCTTCTGGTTTTTGTTACCCTAGTAGAAAAAGCTGTGTCAGGGTTAATTTTTTTCTCACTTATTTATGTGCATTGCTTTTTATTATTATTATATATTTTTTTTTGGTGTAAATTTTTATACAAGTTTCCCTAGACAACTACGATGGCTGCTCAGACAAGCAGTCGACCTGCAACTAAACAATCTATGACAAGCTTTTCACAGCTGTTTCGTCGCCTACTTCGATCATTTTAAATCGATGGGGCCACACTGGTATCGTACCAGACTATCGAGTCAGCGAGGGAGCCATAAAGGTCGCGCGCACTTGACCAATTCAAATTTTTGATAGCTACTCAATTAATACGATTTATTTAAATAGTCACTATTATTTAAAAATTGATTGGTTGCAGATACTTTCGTCTTTCGACTGCAATCAGTTAGTTCACCGCTGTCAGACCGGTTTATGTTGTCATTTCAATTAGACAACTTTATTGTGTATATACCCAGAACGAATACCGGTTTTGTGATAAGCGGCTCTATTTATATATAAGATTGTTCCCATCAGTGCGCATTTGTGATTCTTAGAACGGAGATGTCGCACGGTCTACGCTGCGGGGGTTTCCTGCTATTTTTAGCATTGGCTAGCGGCTACACAGTGCCAAAAGCCAAAATCGAAGTGTTTTATCCCAAAGGATTTGAGGTGTCCATTCCACACGAGGAAGGGATAACGCTGTTTGCCTTCCATGGCAAGCTGAACGAGGAGATGGAGGGTCTGGAGGCGGGCACCTGGGCACGTGACATTGTCAAGATGAAAAACGGACGTTGGACTTTCCGAGATCGACAAGCTGTGCTAAAACCAGGCGATGTTCTATACTATTGGACCTACGTTATCTACAACGGCCTGGGTTATCGCGAAGACGACGGCGCCTATGTAGTCAGTGGTTACAATGGCAGCACACCCGTTTCATCGACTCCAGCAACCCGTGTGCCTAGCCCGGACTTTACTTTCCCAACTCCAGATATTGACATCAGACTTGGCAACTGTGAGGCGCCCAAGACTCAAGCCAATGGCGCTCCAGTTCGATGTGCGAATCAGCAAATCTTCGCGGATGACTTCAATGGCGGCAAACTGGATGCATCCAAGTGGAAGCTGGAGCATCGTTTCTCTGGTGCTCCAGACTACGAATTCAACATCTATGTGAACGACGCACCTCAGACGTTGAGCCTGCAAAACGGACATGTGCAGATCCAGCCCGTCGCCACGAAGCGTTTCTTCAAGCGGAGATTGGGGGAGATGCTAGATCTGGGAGGCGAATGCACGGGCGAGAAGAACTCGGCAGATTGTGTGCGAGATCCAAGTAGGAGGCGCGACAAGCTGCCTCCACTGGTGAGTGCGCAATTCTCCACCAAGGAGAGCTTCTCCTTCAAGTACGGACGAGTCGAGGTGAGAGCTAAGATGCCCAGATCGAAGTATTTGGTGCCTCAGCTATGGCTGCAGCCCAAGTACAATGTCTATGGCAAGGAGGACTATCAGTCGGGGCAGGTGCGCATCGGCTATGCGCGTCAGGTGCCTGGCGGCCAACTAGATCTATATGCTGGCATCCTGCTCACTTCCAAGGAGCCGTTGCGTTCGGCCAAACTATGCCATAAGCTGGGCACTGGCGCTAGCAGCGAGGATTGGAGCGATAACTTCCACAATTATACGCTAGAGTGGACGCCACGTCAACTGAAGTGGTTCGTGGATGGACGAGAAATATGTTCCCAGGGTAGTGATTCGGGTGCGTTTAGTAGCACCATCGCAGACGACCAAAGGCTTCCGAATGTGGACGAGCTGGAGAAGGGCACAGGAATTGCGCCATTCGATCAGGAGTTCTATTTGACGTTTGGCCTCGGCGTAGCGGGCTTCAATGAGTTCTTCTACGACAAAGAGAAGCCATGGCGTGACCAGGACACCATTGCCATGACACAGTTTCTGAATAGCATCAAAGACCGACTGGATCAGTGGTGTGATGACGCTGAGCTGAAAATAGATTACGTCAAGATTTTTTCTGTATAAAATGATTAAATTTTTATGAAGTCAATTCTTAATTTGAACTCAAAAAGTAATTTATATAATGCTCTGAATTATTTTCAAAAACTGATATTCTTTAAAGTCAATTATCAAAAACGTTTACCTTATTACAAACATTTTTATCATTATAAATTTTTTATTTTTATTTTTTTCATTATATAAATATTTTTTAAAAATTTAACTTTTGTTCTTTCAAAGTTCGATAGCTCGATTAAAAACTACGGCCACACTGAGCGAGCACACTGCGCACATCGATAGCTGTGTCACGAACAGCTGTGCATTAATTGAACGTGTTTTTGGTAAACTCACACCACTAGTGCTCACATAACCCTCTGCGGCTTTTGCCTATTAGAAAAAACACAAGTAATTATAATACTATTTGCTTAAAGTTGATTTTCTAACTTAAAACACGATTCTGTTTTACAGCTGTATTCAAAATGCAAGTCACACGTCTTGTACTTCGTCAACTGAGACGTCAAATCACTGCGCAACGCCAGTACAGCGCCGCTGCTCCTGCTGCTGCTGCCGCAGCTGAGAAACTCGTGCCTCCAGTGCCGGAAGGTGTAGCCAAACCACCAAATCCAAAACTAGACAGCATTGTCAACAACATAGCTGCCTTGAATCTGCTCGAGGTAGCTGAGCTTAGCACGTTGCTGAAACAAAAGCTAAATCTGCCAGAGACTGCATTTGCGCCACAGTTCGCGGCGCCTGGTCCAGCGCGTAGTGCGGCTGCCGAAGATGAGGAGGAGGCGGCGCCCAAGAAGGTTCAAACCGCCTTCAAGGTGAAGATGATCAAATTCGATGAGAAGCAGAAGGTGGCGCTAATCAAAGAGGTCAAGAATCTGCTCGAGGGCATGAACCTTGTGCAGGCCAAGAAGTTTGTTGAGAGTGCGCCGACCATTGTGAAAGAGGACGTTACCAAAGAGGAGGCTGAGAAGCTGAAGGAGGCGCTGGCCAAGGCGGGAGCAGTCATTGAAATTGAATAAGCTAAAACTAGTTATTTGTTGTAATAAAAACCCATACAGCGTCAACTTGCTGTCAACTAAAATGAAAAACGTGACACACACACATGCTTACCTACGGAAAGAACTGTTATTTGTAGCAACATTGTTGCAACTTTCTAGTAAACAATTCCCCAAGCACTTTTACCTTTCTGAATGAGTTTAAGCCTTAATTAGTGGCGGCATATGTACTAACTGGTCGTAATTAGTACAGCTTCGCTAATTAAAGTCGTGCGCTATGTCCACCACCAGCCGATGAATGCAATTTCGGCAGCGTTGCCACTGCCAGCCGAATCAGTACCGTTACATCATTTTGTAATAGCGCTTAGAAATGAGAGTGCTAACTGGTATAAGTAAAATTCAAATTGAGCGATTAAGGCAGATCGAGCGAGTCACACTGTTTACTCGAATTCAAACGAAAGCAAGCACGGGGCACTTTCTACGCTGTCCGGGAGCCATCGTCGCATGACGATTGTTCACGCGTGTTCTCAAATTAAGTGCGTATGTCTCGGTTCGCCAGTGGATTGTATACCTGGTAAATCACTTTCATCGACCCGTTCATTTGTTTGCTGTCATTTATAAATGGTATACATATTTTTTTTTCTTTTTTACAGAATGCTCCAAATATTTGCAGCCGCCGAAATAAACTCCACACGACTTTGCCGCCATGGAAAAACTCTGCTTTGAGAGGCTGGAGCAGAGCGTCGCGGTCTATCAATTAGCACCTGCCTCGTTCAGCACCTGCGTCGCCAGCATCTGCGCCCCATTGTGGCATAGTAAGCTCCTCAATTGTGGCCTGCGTCAGTCTCAGTCTCAATCGAAACATAGACGCGTACAATACGTTCTCTCTCCCGTCTTAGGGGTAACTGTAAAAACCGAAAGTGGAAGTGCAGAGCAAATATATGTATATATGAACAAATATACATATATATATATATATATTTGTAGCTATTTATATATTTGTTTAGTTATATAGTTAACCATGTCCGCTCGCACACATTCCACGCGCATCTTGGCCGTCGTCGCCCTCTTCTTCAGCAGTTACATCGTCGGAATTTACAGCGCGGCGCGGACCAGCCTTCAGCTAGCTCCCCTGAATGCGACTCGCAGCGAGAACAGCTCTCTGGATGCACTGGACGCGACACTGGTCTCAGAGAGGAGCTTAGCGCGCAGCAGCTCGAGAAATCCTCGCTGTAAGTGGAAAGTAAAAACCTATTTTTTGAGTTCTCCTTCTTCGTCTCGTTCTTGTTGTTGTTGTTGAGTGATCTTCGATCAAAATATATGTATGTGGGTCAGTTCTTAATTATCACCCAGTGCGCATTTCCGTGCTGAGCTCTTTAGTCTTAGGCACGCATTGTCACCGCCTGACCGAGCAGCAATTCACTCTTGTTACTGGATTCATGGACTACTTTCTTACGATGCCAAAAAAAGTAGATCAGCGCTGGGCAGAACCTGAAAATCTTAAGGAGAGTCCAAAGATTATAATAGTAATCATAATTTCAATTGAATTTCTTTCAATTACAACATTAAAAGGATAGAATGGTCTTTTAAATAGATGTAGTATAGCTTTATCTATAGATTCATCCTTTCTAAATAATTAGTCGCTTTTCCAATAATAATTGCCTTGATTAGCGAGTTCTCAATGCTAATTGATTCTTTATTAGAACTACATCGTATTTGTAAATGCAATATATTTATATAATATATTATATTTAAATATTGCAATATAAGAGTATATATTTATAAATCCCCACACTCACGCTTTCCCATCGTTCGGCAGGGTTTCCCTTCTACACGATTGGACGCTTCTCCAATGACATTTGCTTGGGCAACAACCTGCTCATGGGTACCTGCATGATAAACGGCGAGTGCAAGGACAACAATGGCGTCGCAGCGGGCAGTTGCTCCACTATAACCAATCAGGCCGTGTGCTGCATATGTAAGCCGATCCGAATACAGTCTCAATCAGTGCCTAATTCGATTTGCTCCTACATTAGATCAACGCACTTGTGGCGCCAGCACCAGCTTCAATAACACCTACTTCTACAACAGCAACTATCCGGCACCGTATGCGGGCGGCGGTCGTTGCACCATTGTTGTGACTCCGCCGGACTCAACAATTTGCCAGCTGCGCATCGATTTCATGGCCTTGTCACTGGCACCACCAACTGGCGATGGCTTGTGCACGACAGACGCGTTGACCATTTCGGGCGGCGCCTCGCAAGTGCCCACGATTTGTGGAGAGAACTCGGGTCAGCATGTCTATGTGGACTTCAATGGCGTCAGCCCCATAACCATTTCGGTGGCCACCTCGGCCGGTTACACGTTTAATCGCAATTGGCAACTCCAGCTGCGCATGATGGGCTGCACCTCGGCCACCTTGGCGCCCGCTGGCTGCCTGCAGTATCACATGACCTCCTCTGGCAATATTGCCAGCTTCAACTACGTGTCGGCTGCTTCCTCGGCGCTGAACTCCATCGGAGTGCAGGGCACAAGGCAGCTGGCGGGCCTGCGCTACGGCATCTGCATACGGAAGGCCACTGGCGTCTGCTCCATCACGTATAGACAGGTGTCCTCCGATGCATACTCCTTCACGATGACCAACGATGTGGGCGCCGTGGATCCCACGCTGCTGGCCACGTCAGCGGTGCAGAGCCAGGACTGCACCACGGACTATATCATCATACCAGCGCCAACGCAAGGTGGCACCAGTATGCCCAGCGACCGGTTCTGCGGTTTGGGCTTGGTGGCCACGACATCAGAGGCGAAGCCTTTTGTTGTCTACAGTGTGACGGACTCCAACGAGGAGATGGACATCTCGAATCGAGGCTTCTACCTGGCCTACTCACAAAACCCCTGCCCCGTGCTGTAGTCGTAAATGCTTGTCAACTAAAATAAAAGACTCTGAGAACAATAAGCAATAAATAGGCAATAATTAACTTATATATAACAGATATTAGTTTTATCGCATAGTTTTAGCTAACAATGTTTTAACTGTACATAATTTATCTAACACGATTGCGTGTGACTAGATGGAAGAGGGACTACGCCGCCAGACGTATCAGGTTGTCTATCTCCGCCTGCAGCTCTTTGATCTGTGAAGAGATAAGGATTAGCTAAAGATATATACATAGAGTACCCGGAGACTCACCCGATTATTGAAATGCGTCTTGGTAGCCGAGTCCGCCATCAGCTGGAAGGCCTCATTGTCCACGCGCACTTTGTACTTTTGCAGCTCGTTGACCAACTTCTTCAGCTTCTTCTTGTTCGTCTTTAATATCTGCTCGCGCTGCTCCTTTGGTATTGGGAACTCCTCCTTTATGGTGATGCCAAAGGAGCAGAGTGCACCGGCAGTTGAGAAGAAGTTCAGTTTTTTGGAGAATTTCGAGTCCTCATTGAGCAGCTCCAGCTCCACGCAGCCGCAGCGCGTGAGCACGCCAATCTGTGCCAGATGACGACGCAGTATCGTTTCTGCTTCCTCATTCTGGGCAAACAGAGAGAGCTTTGGGGCATGACGATTGCTGATTTGATTGCGACTCTTCATCTGGCGCACATTGGTGCAGATGCTGACAATGTCAGCGACCTCCGCCTGCAGTTTAGGATCTTGATACTCGGACAGCTTGAGTTCGATGTTTAGTGGGACATGCTGCAGCAGCTCAGAGGCAACGAAGGGCGTGAAGGGCGCCAGGGCCTGCAGGCCCCAGCTGAGGCAGGCGGTCAATGTGCCCACATTCACGTAGGCATCATGGGTGCGATTCCGGATCGCTGTCTTGGTGGTTTCCTATTGGCAAAAAGTACAGAATTAGATCAAACACAATTACAGACAAGAGGAAACTTTACCAAATACACATCACACAGATTCTGATAGAAGAAATGCTTCAGCGCCGATGTGGCCATGTGGAAATTGTAGTTGGTGGAGCTTTCCGAGCATATGGCCAGCGTCTCAGCCAATCTGCCAATGATCCAACGGTCCCACATGCCCAGCTGCACGCCCTCCATCGTCTCGAACTCGTCTAGGGTAATGCCCAGAGACTGAGCGGAGCCCAGTGTGAAGCGCATGGCTTGCCAGATCTTGTTGAGGAACAGTTTGTTGGTGTAGCAGGCGGTCACATCGAAGTTAATGAAGTGGTGCTTGATGTTGTGGCTCAGCAGCGTGAAGCGTAGAGCATCGGTGCCGCACTCCTGAATGCCGTTCGGGAACATCTTGATGAGGCCCTCCGTGGAGGTTCTCAGCTCTTCGGGCTTGATTACGCCCGCATCGCACGATTGCTGCAGTGTGGCTTTCAGGCTATCCAGGCTGGCGCCCTGCACCACTTGCTGTGGCGTAACAATGTTGCCCAAGCTCTTGGACATCTTGCGACCCTGAGCATCGCACACGATGCCATTGAGCAGAATGCGCTGAAAGGGAGCCTTCCCAGTCAGCTTCAGTCCCATCATCATCATGCGAGCGACCCAGAARAAGAGTATATCATGCCCCGTCTGCATCAGATCGAGTGGATATTTCTCCTTGTAGATCTCGTTGGGCCAACCAGCTACGGAGAAGGGCAACAGTGACGAGGAGAACCAGGTATCCAGCACATCCACGTCTCGACTCAGCCTCACCTCTTTAGTGCCCAATTTGCTGATTGCCTTCTCGCGCGCCGTCTTCTCGTCAGTGGCCGCCACCCAGCAGCTGTTGCCCCTGGAGTCGAAGGCCTCGTAGGCGGGCACCTGGTGACCCCACCACAGCTGGCGAGAGATGCACCAGTCCCGCGAGTCCGTTAGCCATCTCTCCCAGTCCGTCTCGAACGTTGAGGGCATAATTTGCAGTCTTCCGCTCTTCAGCTCCGACAAGGCAGCCTCGCACATGGACTTGGTCTTAAGGAACCACTGCGGCACCGTCATATACTCAATGACATCCTTCGAACGGGAGCAGATCGGCAATTGCATGCTATGCGCGCGTACCTCGCGCAGCAGTTCCATCTGCTCCAAGCGCTCCACGATGAGATCGCGTGCCTCAAAGCGGGGCTTGCCTTGGAACTCTGGGTATGCATCATCGATCTCGCCGCTTTCGGTGAAGACGCGACGACCCGTCAGCTTGTGGCGCGTGGCCATCTCGAAATCGAATTTGTCGTGGGCTGGAGTTAGCTTCACAGCGCCGGTGCCAAACTCCATATCAACAGCGATGTCAAAGATTAGGGGAATCGTGTCGTCTCTGAAGGGATGCTGCAGCTGCACTTCCTTCCGGTTGCGATATTTGGTATAACGCGGATCAGCTGGGTGCACGGCAACTGCCACATCTCCCAATATGGTTTCCGGCCTGGTGGTGGACACCACAATCTCCTCCGGCTTGCCATCATTATCGAGCTGGCCATCGACTACGCGATAGGCAACGTCAAAGATGCGACCGAAGAGCACATTCTGCTCATAGCCCGGCACGGCTACTTCGACGGGCTCCTTAATCTCCAACGTTTCCACTTCGATGTCGGAGATGGCAGATCGCAGGGCGCACGACCAGTTGACGAGCGAATTGCGCCGCTTGATTAGACCCTCCTCGAAGAGTTGTATGAAGGCCGCGCTGACGGCATTGGCCTGCTGTTCGTCCATGGTGAAGTACTCGTGCTGCCAGTCGAGCGAGCAGCCCAGTTGACGCAAGTCCTGCACAATTCCAGCGCCCTTCTCGGCCTTCCATTTCCAGACCTCCTCGAGGAAGGCTTTTCGTCCAATCTCCTGTCGCGTTTTGCCTTTCGTCGCGGCCAAGGTGCGCTCCACGACCACCTGTGTGGCAATGCCCGCGTGGTCCGTTCCCGGCACCCACTGCACGTCGTAGCCCAGCTGCCTCTGTTGCCTGGCTATCACGTCCTGCACTGTGGCCATCAGCGCGTGGCCCAAATGCAAGTTTCCGGTTACATTTGGCGGTGGCAGGATCATGCGATAGGGCCCACGGTTGCATCCACTGCTCAACTCCTTCGTGGGCTCTTTTTCACGCTCCCAGTATGCCTCCTCCACGGGCTTTGGCTGATAGCCCGCAGCCAAAGACAGCTTGGGGCCTGCGTGAAAATCTTTCCATTAGCCGGCATTTTGTTGAAAGAAAATCACGATCCACTCACCTCTGGCTGCGCTGCAGTAGAGCCTGGCAGTGACATTTAGCAATTTTGGATGACATAAGTGTTTGTGTTTGACTAAATTGCGGGTAACTACTTTAATAATTTGCATTATTTCAATTCCGATGCGTTGAGGAGCCTCAACAGTTGTTGTTATGTCAACTGACAAGGGGCAGTGTGTGCACAACTTTTGAAGGTTCAAAATACAAATACGAATACAAAACAGCTGATTTCTAGAGCTGAGAGCGATAGTTTTGCCTGGATATCGATAAGAAATTCAAACAGTTGGGCGCCTAGATTGAATTGAATCGAATCGAATTGAATTTCTTGACAGTTATTTGGCTCTTTATTGATGTTAACTGCATTTCGTATATTTCTGCGAATAAAAGCGACCAAAGAGAAACAGAAATGACAGCATGTAGGCCACTCCCGTATAACTGAGCCACGGCTGGTATTCACATCTGCTCACAATCGCCTGAGCACCCCAGGCCAAGCCCAATGCGAATTGCAGCAGCTGCAGTGCTGTTAAGTAACGTTTCCACCATAGATACGGGTATAAACGAGGTCCCAGAGCGCTCAGTGAATAATATCCGTACATAACGATGTGCACAAAGGAGTTCATCAAAGCCGGCACGAAGGCTGCAAAGGGACAAGCGCTCTAGCAGTAGCAGAAGCGAAGGCTTAAAGGGTTATGAATGGGAAAACCTACTTGAGCCAGTGGGTATCCATTTGATTACTATCCAGCATATGACAAACATGCTGCTGTGATGATAGACGTGCAGAAAAGTCAACTGGGACCACTTTTTGCGCAATATAAAGAAGAAAGTATCGGCAAATTCCAAGATCTTTGATATGTAGAACCACCAAAAGGCAGACGCCAGCTGTGGAATGTATTGCAGCTCAATAAATATATGTACTTTTATTTTTCATGTTAAAATTTCTCGACTTACGCGAATTTCAATCGGATCATAGCTCACTTTACAAGGCTGACACTGTAAGCTATAGTCGAGGGCCCGCGACGTCGTGTAAAGCTGCAGGCAAATATATCCATTCAGCAAGGCCATGAACAAGTTGTAGCCGAACAATGGAAGGCGCAACTGAAATGCCTGGCGACTGCAACCGGAGAGGGGAGCCAACGTGGGATTGAAAGAGAATATGATGGCATTTGACGGCACACGGCCACACCCACACAACCACCCACCTGGCCATCCATTTGGGCGCAAAGTGCAGCAGCAGCAAGTACAAGGCCAACAGCAAGGCGGCATTCCAAGGCGAGGCCACCAATGGCCAAGATTGTGTGCGCTCATCCGCCAGCTCGGCGAACGGATAGCTGTCCAGGAAGGCAATGGATGATGACATGACCTGTCGACACACAGGAATGCCAAAACGTAACTAACTTCAATTGCTGCCGCGCCGCTGACTTTTTATAATGTTCAGCTGGGCAGCGATGCGTATATACTATGTATATAGAGATATATACATATATATATGGATATAGATATAGCTATACTTAGATTTTTATATTCGTACATGTTATGATATGATTTTCTTTAATAAGAAACCATTTGACCCCTAGAACGAATCAAGCATGACTGAGGCTGAGTTGGGGTCACAGTTAGCTGAAGCAGTAACTCTTATACAGTATAAGACTGTATGGCAATGATATAGCATGTATGTATGTATATGYGATTACAATGTATCTATAAACTCTCTTCAATCATCGTTTCAATTTGATAAACTTGACATTTGGCTGGCTTCCATATGAAGAGCCAAATGTTGAATGCATGGTAAATATATATATAT